TGTTCTGACCATGAAGATCCGCTTTGGTTCTCATTATCATTATTATTATTTTTTTTTTATAAAAATAGTTACGAAGAACGTAAATTAAATAAATTTTGCGTTTTCTACCATTAAAAAATGCTTCCAATGGTACATTGAATCTAAATATTTAACAATTACTACTTTTCAAGAGTGAAAAAGTTTACACAGCCTCTGTCAACTTAAACATGTTAAAGATACATAGCATTGCAAAACTTATAATCTCAATTTTTCTTAGTACTAACTCTTCCACTTATATTCGATGATATTTTAAGAAACAGTGCAATGATTCGGTCTATTTGATATCAAGTTTTGATAGATAATCAATTACTTTCTTTGGATTCCTTGCATAAGAATATCATTGAATTCAAGTATTTTGTTAATTAAATGTATGATAAAGTATCATTTATAAAAAATATTTGTTTATCATAGTAAAATAATTTAACGGAATGTATAATGAATTACATTTTACAGTAACAAAATTTCTCATTTTTCGATATCAAATATAAGATTTAATAATAAATATGACTTATTATTTTTTATTACTCCGTTTACCCTTCTTTAGCGCTACCAATAATACATAATAATAAAACAGGAAACGATTTTGTCGATTATTTTTTTTTAATGAAGTTTATACAGAAATTTATTTACATAAAATATACACTAAATGTAAATTCCATTACACAGAAAGAGATGAATCATAAGCAGAAAAAAAACTTGAATTTGTGTAAAAAAATTGCAATGTTATTAGTAACAANAAGTCACGATATTTTTGCAAACTAATTCGGATACCACCAGCTGTAAAAAATATTGCAGGGACATTAGCTGCTTTGCTATAAATTATAAAAAATTTAAAACTAAATGAAAATGTTTTTGAAACTCTCAAAAATCAAGACAACACTTACACTTGAAGAGATTGTCTAATTTCTAATAAGTCATATATATATAGGCAACGTAGAATCTACAAGATTTTCAGGTAATTTAGTTTAATCATACATTGATTTTACTTTTTAAACTTATCATTAGAAATAGTTTAATACTGACTTTCAAAAAGCGTAGTTCAAAATAAATTTCTTTATCATGTATCAAGCTTTTATACTTTCAAACATTTTGTATAGAATTTCTGTACGTAATAACCAATGTACATGATACGTGACAGTGAAGTAATGATCAAAATGTGACATTCAAAAGACTAAATGAATCGCGTATTTTGTGGAAGCCCATGGTTAAACAATCATAAATGATTTTACTTTGAATGCATAAAATCATACTAGAATACAGAAATGAAATTCTAATTGAAACTGTAGCAAACAAACGATAAGAAAACCACGTTTTTTGGACTGTGAACGATTAGTAATTTGTAAATTTGTGCCTTGTATTGTTAATTTAACAAAGAATCTGTCACAGAAAGATCAGTAATGTCATTGACATATCAAAGGAAAAGAAAAAAAAAAAAAAAGTCTTTAGTCGACGTAGAATGGCCGGATACCATGTGCTTTTGTGTAGGCAAGTGGTATCAATATTTTATTAGTCATATTAGTAATCAATGTACAATACTGAATTTATTAGTTTTAAAGCCCTGATCCAGTCACCATTTAATAACTTGACACGGTGAACTAGATGTTCAAATACGCAGTTTTAGAATCCAGATGCAGTTTTATTTTGGTTTGTTTATTCATTTCAGTTTACAGTGAAACGTACTTTTGATTCTTTGATGTAAAAATCCCGTACTATGGCAAAACCGAATATTTTCAAAAGTAATTTGGCAGTCTTCACGTTGTCGCTCAAATACGCTTAAAATACATCGTAAGTACGTGAAATTTTTACCTTAAATCATTAGAAATAGAATTGAAATGGAGGGAGAGACTACTGCTACTGGTTTATAATAATCTGCGTACATAGAAATCAACTAGAGCACGCATGCTGAAAAGACACCCATTACACGTCAACCAATGTCCCCACTGTAATCCTGACCGTTTAAGAGATTACGATTGTAAATGGCAGCCCTGTAACTATACCTATTTGTGGTTCTTTCGGGAACCGGTGGTGGCACCAGTGCTACGTCAGCGTTCACGAAAGCGCTGCTACCCTCGTCCACCTCACCGATGCAGCTCTCAGCCAAAGACGGCTCCATTTCCGTGTATGCTAATCTCGAGCGCAACAAGTACGCGTACGTTTTGTACCTTTTGAGCTGAACAAAAAAAAAAAAAAAAAACAGAAAAAGCACATTGTATATATATATACATATATATTTTTTTTTTCAATAAAATTTGGGTTACGGAGGTAGCTAATGCTAAAAACTACAGCATGTACACACCTCAAAGTGTAAATAAGCATCTTTCTCTTTGTAATTTTGTATCGCCAGAGCTTTGGCACCCCTTTCCGGTGGATGCCGTCTGTGCTCGTCCAGTTCGATCTCCAACTTGTTGACTCTATCCTCGTGATCGCGCAGCTGTTCTCTCTGAACATCGAATCGAGCAACAGCAAGAGTCACGTGTACATTAGCAAATTGTGAAAGTTTGAAGGAAAATAATAAAAAGACAACACACAGCCTTATGTACTAAGGGGCCGATAGCGAATTGCACAGCTACTCACGGGACTTAATTTTGTATGACTGCATGGAAGCAAAGGCCGCTGAAACTTTGGTTGAGAACCTACCGCGCCGGCAAGCGGCTGACTGGAGAAGCTCGCACAGACAAAGTTGATCGTGTCTATCCAAGACTGTAGCTCTTTGGAATCGCTGAACGTTTTTTTTATTTTTTATTTTTTGTTTCCCCAAAAAAAACAATTCGATTAATACACATGTAAACAGAAATACCCATATATTTATATATACATAATGGCTCGAGTGTTTACCTAGTTTGAAAGAGATACTCGGCTTGATCGGCAGTCTGTAACCTGAAGACGTGCTGCTTCTTCGTGTAGTCGGACGCTTTCGTCGCAAGCCCGTGATGAATGCGTATGGCGTTGTGAAGACTGTCGCTACGAAAGCCATGCTCGTCCTTGTGCAAATACAATACAAGTTCACGGAGGGTGCAATAATACATTTTCCATCCTCTCTTGCCAAACGGAGCTACGACAACAAGAATAGATACAATGACAGTAGATAAACATCGCAGACGGAGTATCGTATGGACGATGAGGATGTAGCAATTACTTTTTTTTCCATTGGCGTCGTAACAACACTTGCGCATGACATAGCCTTTCTTGAATTCTGTGGCGCCAGTGACGTTTGGCACGTCGAGAAATGGATTTCCGGTGGCAGATATGACTTGACCGTCGCCCTGCTGCATCGCCTGAGAAGCGACCTCGTCTCCCTCTTCGTCACTGCAATTGCAACAACAAAATGCATCATCACTCGAATTTATTTATCCAGTTTTTTTTTTTTTTTTTTTTTTCATTTTCATACTCACAGTGCCCACTCCAGTGGAAACGACTTGATGGCGTTGTAAAGCTGTTTCAACACCTCTCGGGGGAAATTTTCGCCGTCATTGAGCTCCGATAGATTCTCGATGAAATCCGCGCAAGACATCTTCCGGCCAATGTTCTGACCATGAAGATCCGTGTTGAGCAGCATTATAGCACACGTCAACGTATGTACAGCATCTACACGAGTTGGGGGGGAAAAGAAAAAGCCAAAACAATTATTCGTTGCTTTCATTCCATCAGCGGTTATTGCGGTAAAAAGCCAAACCAACCTTGGGAATTGAACGATCCCGGGTTGCAGTCGAGGTACCTCTTGGAGAAGTGAACGAGCACGCGTTCCCGCTCCTGAGTCTCGCCCGTCAACGAAAACTGCGCGAGGAACTTCCTAAGAGCCACGTCCAGCGTGTCCCGCTCGAAGTTGAAATACTTGAGATACTCTTCGGCGACCGCTCTGCTGAAGTCGTTGCTAAAGATAGAGAGAGAGAGAGAGAGGAAAAAGTAGCGAAATTAAGGTACAGCCGGACGACAAAGTGATGTAGAGGAGTCCTTACTTTTTGCTGAGATGCCTCGAGACGTCGGATTTTTTGAAACCATCGAGGGAGTAGAGCCTCTTGGCCAGCCTGACGGCCGACGGCAAGTCGACTGCCTTCGGACTGTAGTGGAAGCTGTGCAGGCTCTCGATGTCGCTCTCCTCGTCGGCCGAGTGGGGCGGCGAGGCCCCGCTCTGTTGCCTCTGCTGCTCCTCGTAACCATACTGCTCCCTCTCGTCCTCGTAATCCCTGAACTCCTTTGACACGCGGAGAGACACACCCGACAAATTACAAGACTGCGCGCAAACAACATCAACAACAACTTTGGGAGCATGTTACTTACCTGATACGAGCTCTGGAGGTGCTCGGACCCAAGGCCGTTGTTCCGCTGCTGGTGAGCCGTGGGCGAGTGTTGGGTGTCCGAGCCCGCGCTCCCGGGCCTTCGCTTCGGTTGTCGCGGACTCGCGTGCCTCGACTCCTTCTCCTGGCCCGGGCCCTTCACCTGTATCACTATCCTGTGCTGCTCGTCCTGCTGCTGCTGCTGCTGCTGCTTGTAACGCTGGGGTGGCTCGCTCGCCAGGATAGTCGAGTCGCTGTCGCTTGGGTCGCTGACCATCATGATGTCCCGGGCGCTCAGTATGTCCATCGTCTCCTCGTCGTTGTAATCGGGACTGGACATGTTGCTTATCACCTCGGATTGACTGAAATCGCCGTTGGTGGGGAAGAAACCGACCGGTTGTTGCTGCTGCTGGGGGTGCAGCTGGTGGTGCGGGTGGTGCGACAACTGTTGCTGCTGAAGGTGGCTGGCGGTCGGGGTCTGGCTCGGGGGCGGAGCCTGGGGGAACCTACGGGAGCCAGAGTTGGAGGACATGACGGAAGACGAGACCGAGGTCGGGGAGGCTGGCGAGAGGGAGCGCTGGGGACTCGTGGCCTCGGTCGAGGAGCTCGAGGAGTGGCTGCTGGACGTGGACGACGAGGACGACGCCGAGGAGGAGGAGGAGCCGGCGTCGGAGTAGTGGGCCGAGGAGTTGCAGGGTACCGATGCCCCGCTGACCGGGGCGTTGTACGTCCAGACGATGCGGTCGCTCGTTGGCGCTTGGGTGCCAGCCTCGCCCCTTGTGTCCAGCAGGGTGTTGAGGGACGAGGTGACGTCGTCGTCCATGTCGGCGTCGACGCCGGACATGGACGGGTCCTTTTGGAGCTGCAGCTGGTCCTCGGACCTCGAGGTGCGCACGAAGCCCGAGGTAGCGTAACCAGTTGTGACCGCTGCTGCTGCTGCCGATGACGACGACGACGACGAGGATACCCCTGTGGATCCGGTGGCTTGATTGCAGCTGCCGCTCGGGTCGGCTTGGAAACCCCCGGAGGCAATGTCACGTTTGTTGGTGCCCACGGGCGAGCTGTTGGCAGAGCTCGAGTTGCCACCACCGCCGCTGGGACGCCTTTGGCCGAGCGTTTCGTTCGGGCTCGTGGGTACCGAGTTATGGTATTGGTGGTGATGGTGGTTGTGGTGGTGGTTATTGTTATTTTGGTGGTTATGGTGGTGGTGGTGGTGGTGGTGGGTAGTCTGGTGGTGATTGTTGTACCTCAACGAGTCCGTCTTTATCTGCTGGTTCTGTTGTTGCTGACGTTGGTGATGGTGGTGGTGGTGATGTTGCTGCTTGTTAGGCAGAAAACCGGCGTTCTGGGGGGTGCGCGACAGGTTGAGCATCAGGTCGCCCGTCATCATATACGCCTCGAATCTGTTTCGCGAGAATCACGAAATTTCCCCACTTGTGTTATTACTATCATCATTAATTTAAAAAATTTTTTTATTATTATCTTCGTGGTGCAAGCTATGGTCATTGGTAACTGATGTTCCATGCCACAATACTCTAGAGCTGAGCTCTGATGGAAGCGAAATCGGCTTGCATTTGTACGTGCACCCTCGTGATGGATATTTTATTTATCTTACGTGGGTGTGAAGAAGAAAAAAAAAAACATTCGCTTCTAGCAGAGCTTATGTATTATTTCGGACAGCACGAGAGTAAGTGAATTGGTTTGGTTTGATCTAAGCACTATACATATCGTTGTTGTTAGTATACAATATGTATTATTATTTAACATTGAAAACGACGTAGCTACTTTAATCTGATATCTACTATTGCAAGTATAAACATTACGGCTACGTTTGTATAAAAAAAAAAAAATGGAAAAAAAAATCCACATAGGTCTGGTGTACGTATAAAGGGGTAGTTAACAGCAAAAAGTATAGAATATAGTTGTGAAGAAAAAACAAAAATAAATTTGAAAAACAATTACATGAACATTTCAATGGTCCATTAAAAACATTAAATTCTAGAAAACTTTATATACGCCCTACTTTCTCTACGTTGCTACAATTTAATTGCATTATATGTATGTATATATCTACTATAAATCGAACAACTTTTAATGCATAATTTATATTATTCNTGTTGTTGTTGTACCCACAATCGTACACGTATAGGTATAATATGCTACTCGTTTGTGCAAAACCCAAGTGAGGAGGGTCTGCTTCGTTCGCGCTAAACCCACTAGATATTTCCTTTTTGCTCTTTGCTCTTATACATTTTTTTTTTTTTTTTTTTTTTTTCAACAAACAACCACCGAGTGATTTATATATCTACTATAAATCGAACAACTTTTAATGCATAATTTATATTATTCTCTATCAATACTTTTTTTTATACGTAATTTTTTCCAAAACAATTATGTATCAATGCATGTGTTTCAGCCTTTCAACAAAGAACAGAGAACAAGTCACATAAGAGTTAAGCAAAAATTATAACTATCATTGAGCATCAATGTCTACATGAAATGATAAAAAAAATAGAAATTGGTAGATAAATTTATTTTTGGCAATATATACATTAAAATGTAATAATTCAACGTTCTAGACAAAATATCTGTCCGTTTCAATAAAAAAAAAAAAAAATATTGATTCGAAAAATAAAAATGAATTGAAACTGGTACATTACAATGTGTTTTCCTCTGAAATTCCTCGTGAAATTCGAGTGAGTATGTTGAAATTTGTTAAATATTAAAAAGTACATTCTTTGTCTAGGTCGTCGAATAATTTTATTATTACACTGAAACAAATATAAGTTAAAAATATCAAAAGTTATTTTAAAAACCTTTGACGCTAGGAAAAATCAGTCCCTTTAAGAAATTCAAAAATAAATTGTTTTTTAGGCAATTAAACGTTTTGTTTAAAAATGACATGTTCCTAAAACAAAGCTAGGAACTTGTTGAAGTGCACCATCGTACATACACATAACTGTCTAATTTTTAGAAAAGAAACTAAATACGATGATTAATCAACAGTTGTTTTTTTTAAATTTTGGTAAAATTAGTGGCAACACTAATTATTCTTCATTTGAAATAAACACCCCGAGAAAAAAAAAGGTAATAATTTTTGAAAATAAAACTTGTAGAATACTTTTCTTATCATCAATAACGTAATATGTAACAAAAGCAAGTACGGATGTAAGTTGATTATTTTTATACAATACAGTATACACACACGTGGATAAATAAATATGTTACCACCATGAAATTTCTAAGATAAGAGAGATGTCGACCTATTATTGCAGGGTCACACACGATATCTTTGAAAAACAAATAAGACGCTTTAAGTATACGACAAAAATGAAATATCGGATCGTTTAGGGCTAAAATTTTTATAGTAAATTTAATCATACAACGTAATAGTTACAACCTACAAATCATAAACCTATAAATAAGATTGAAAAAAAAAAAAAAAAAAAAAAAAGAAAAACTACCTCGTAACTTCACCCTCGACACACACACTCGTATACAAGCGGATAAAAAGTTTCACCAGCACCAGCACGTGAAATCTCGACCTATACGTACAATATGAATTCCGCTGCTTGATCCAATTGTTCCAAATTGCAATTTTGTTTTGCGCACTCGCAGACACAAACAAGTTTTGAAAAAAAAAAAAAAAAAAAAAACGAGGTCACGAATAAACTCTTGGTGTTCTGTCGTACCAAGCAAATAACTTAGGGTTGTAAACACGATTGTAAACATAATAGATGTGCAGATGTCGGTGTGACCGTAAGTAAGAAAGACGCAAAGGTGAAGGAGAAAAGACAGTGAACATACCTGGGCGGGTTCTTCTGCCTGGAGAACTTGTCGGAGCCAAGGGGCTCCCACTGCACCCGGTCCTCCTCGTGGAAGTTGTCCGGCTGCTGTTGGGCAGGTATGAGCGCCTCGAGGTCCGACGATCCCGAGCCGTCGCTGCACGAGCCATTGCTACGCGACGAGCTGTGGCAGTTAGCCGCGCCCTGACCCGGCGCCACAGGACTGGCCACGAGCTCGGGCGAGCCCGAGGAGGCGCGCCCGCTCTCCACCGACTCCTCGCCCATCGCGTCGCTCTGGGGCAGCAGGTTTCGCACGCGAGCCTTTATCGCCGGATCTGCACACGCGAGTCACTTTCTTTTTTTTTTTTTTTTCTATTGTTTTTTAAGATGATATGCCTATGTGTATTAGTATTGTGGATATCTGCGGTCAAACGAAGTCATTTTTACTCCCGAAACCCGTGCATCACGTGTAACACACACAAAACCGATCCGCCACGGAGGCTCCAAGGAAATTCAATCCTGTTTTTTTTTTTTATAGTATACGTGTTCATTTATATGATAAAATATATATACTTTGAGACGTATCGGGTTACAATACGTCGACACAACTGCCCGCATGGGCGCCGAGATATTTATACACATACGAGATAATAATGATGCTGATGGCTCGACGGAGGAGGAGAACGAGCATATAATGAGGGGGGCCGCGCGTCGCACCAAGTGCTCGATAAATACTTGGGTTGCGTAACTCAGAGAGAGAGAGCGATGACATTGGCTATCGTCGCTTCTCCGCTACATATATATACGTGTACTCGTGATGCTGATTGATGCAAACCGCTGCATGTGGTACGCGGCGCATAGGTATACCGTTGTAGGAAAATGTAACGCCAACGAGCCATGCAGAGGTAACATCGTATACAAGCATGAGGACTCGGGGCTATGCTGACTCGTTTGGGGTGTTTGATTATCAATTGTTCCCTTGTATTCGATGAACGAGGCGCGAATATGAAGGATAAATGTATGCGTGATGTAGGGTGCAAAGCCGGACGACAACTTACCCTTGCGCAGCTTCAACGTGACAGTGTCCGAGGAGAGCCGGAGACATTTTAAAACTGCAACAGAAGCGAAGCAGAGGTACTTGAGGTTTTTAAACGGGTCTTTTCACAGTGGGTAAGTATATAATATGCATGGCCATATAGGTATATAGTTCCGAAACCGGTGCTGTTGTTGTTGTACCCACAATCGTACACGTATAGGTATAATATGCTACTCGTTTGTGCAAAACCCAAGTGAGGAGGGTCTGCTTCGTTCGCGCTAAACCCACTAGATATTTCCTTTTTGCTCTTTGCTCTTATACATTTTTTTTTTTTTTTTTTTTTTGTTCAACAAACAACCGAGTGATTAGTAGTCAAGTACAGGTATCGCAAAGCCAAGGATGGACGGTACAAATGCCCGGGAGTGCGAGCGTTTTACAGGGCATGGAGACGACGGTTGATTTTTTTTTTTTTTTTTAATCCTCCGATGACGATAACAAAGTTATATATACGATAAGACACCGCTTACAGGACCATTCAATCTACGGATTCATCGCCACATCGACATTGATGGAGGAAAAAAAAAAAAAAAATATCGATGCTCTTTAATTGAATTTCCAGCGAGGCGAGCAATTTCAACTGGGGCGGAGGAGGCCGGGGCTATGTACGTAAGCAACACTCGAGAGGCGCGCGAAATGAAAAGTTGTACGCACAGAGCGATCCGGTCGCGTGCGAGAGAAATTTTCCGTGCGGTCAAACTTGATTCGACGCCTCAGGCTGAGAAACATGAAAATTGACGGGGGGGAAGAAGGAAAAAAAAAAAATCGTCACCGAAGGACCGGAATATCGTCCCAAGGCCTCGGGATGAAAGTTCGTCCGAGCTGAAAACGGACCACGGGCGAAGCATCGCTGCCGTGGGGTAGCTGTTCTAATGGCCGTGCAATTTTCGCATATCTTTAGTAGATTTATCATGCATCCAAAAATTACGAAAAGTGTCTTTTACCCTGCATTATTTATCGGCATAATTCACGATTTTAATATTAATAATAGTTGTGGTGTACAGCTTTTTTTTTACACGTGATTACAAAAAAAAAAAAAAAAAAAAAAAAAGAGTTGTCTATAATAACGTGTTGGCGAGGGGATACGTGACCTTTTGAATAATGAATAGTAATGAGCAAAGATGAGCGTGTAGTCGAATAGATGGTTAAAAATTATGTCACTTCTTCATCATTCAAGATATACTAGTATTATCATGCAAATACATGTAAAACTGTATGTATATATTTACGTTAAGTTCCCAAACTCACGTGCGTCCTTCGTTACAGAAACAATAAGTTTGGGTTAATCACGTATTCATTCCTTTTTTCATAGAATTAAATAAAGTTGAAGTGATTAAAAACTCAATGGCGATTGAAATTATTAAAAATTACTTTGAAAAATTTTAACCGAGCGGGTGCATCTCTTAACTAATTAAGTGTGAATTTATAATTAAAAAAAAAAAAAAAAACGAGACCTTCGAATGAAGCGCATTAAATGCAACAAAGACGCTCTTCATTTAAGATATAACTCAAAGTCAGGAGAATCTGCTAAATTTACGCTCCACGCGCTTTTGGAAGATAAGTATCCACCCTTTCTTTCGTGCAGACATAGCGCCACTGTCGCTTTTATCTTTGGTTTTTTTTTTTCATCCCTCTTTCGCTTACTCGAGAAACGTACTTGAAACAACTCAAATTGTGAGCCTTTATTTTTTTTTTCTTGCATACTTTGTCAAGTAATGATTAACTGCACCAACGAAATATAAGGAGCTCAGCCACCGAAAATTAAAAATATTACTCGCTCGTTTGTGATAAGTTTTTACATCAAGGTATTTTAGTATTTTTTTTTTTTTTAAATAGAATATTAAGTTGATTACCTTCTTTAGTACTGAACCGATTGACGTCGACTTCGTTCACCCTCAGTAAAACGTCGCCAGCCTCGACCTGTGAATCAAATTATTTTCAAAGATTAAAATAAACCAAATTACATCTAAAACACGTGTCTTGTGTCATTTGTAATTAAGATAGTTATAATGATTATAATTATTAATATTACGTATGTGATGAAAGCGAAAGAAAATATAAGAGTCTTAAATAAATAATGGAGTTTCGTAAAATTTAATCAAAAGACACCCTCCATAGTTAACTTGTTTGATATGGTCGTGCGTAAAAGCAGAGAGCAGATATAATATTCAACTATACTAATTTATACAATCATCATGTAAATATTTGGGTACCTTTCGCCATTTAAAATTAATGTTATTCAAACACATTTATCAACTGGTAAATTCTCTTCTGTATCGTGATCTAATGTTTTTTATTCTGTAAAAAAAAAAAAAAAAAGAAAATAAAAATAAATTCAGCTATATACACTATCGGTCGCATAATATTGTATGTTATGTGTATAAAATGAAAATACCGCGAGCTTTTTATGACATATACTGCTTAGACTGGCGCTCGAGCGTTTTTTTTATCTCGCTACACTTCCTACGACTACCTCTTTTTTTTTTTTTTTTCTTTCATACCTAATGCACGCGCGTGCGTTTTTCAAAAGATAAGGTAGTCACATATATATATATGTAAAGCTCCAGATGGCTGCCAAAGCTGCATTCCTGCATGTGAATGTATTGCATATGTAATGTATACAGTGTCGGTTACGTGAGCGCGCTACAGTGGCATTATATATAATAGTCGGACATGTGCGTGTGCGTATATATATATACGCGTATAATGAGAACAAGTGCGATATACGTACGATCAAAATAGAGGTGAGCGACAACACGTGTGCGCCTGATTGAAGGGGTTAGTACGGTATACGGTCCAATTCAAAAGTTACAATTTTGTTTTTTTGATTAACCATGTGAATTATCATCCTATTATAATATTAACTATATACTAGATCGGTAGACCTAAAAATTGGACCCATAGTGATACTTTTATTTTTTTAAACTGCGTCAAAGTAATGATTGGAAATGTGTATACGGTGTGGGTCCGACACTCCTAATGTAATAGACAAAGGGTTTTTTTGACAACCTGTAATTGCTTATTGTATGTGGGTATTAACTTTTCAATATCTAACTCAGCAGTATTAGTTAAATAACTTATATTATCATGCATATGTAATGTCTGAACTTTCGTGAGTGGATGTAAAAAAAAAACGTGTTTTTTTTTTGTTTTAACAATAAAATTGTATAACACTACAGCTGCGCAAGTTTTTTTGCTTTTGTCAAAATGTTTCTATCCGTTTTTCTCTGTACGAGTAATGCATTCAAAAGTTACGTGGCCTAGTATACGCTCAGCTTTTGCATCAATTTAATTGTACTTGTGTATGTATACCAATACACGACTCGTATTTCAATACTCACACACACGTAGCATCGATTGTATACGCACAGAGTGCACAAACACTATAAAATAGTTTCGTGAGACGCCAATTGTGCGACATTTCCACTTTTGCCTCTCAATAATTGATAAAAAATACCAACTGTGTATTTTTTTGTTACTTGTTGTACATCGCTATGGACAAAATCTGTACATGTTTATAAAAACAGGCAAGATTAACGGGGGAAAGACGGATAACAACAATTCACTCGATCGACTTTCTTTGCACGCGCCGTAAACGGGAAAATAATCAAAGAAAACAGCAGCTCTGCAAATAGAGCAGAAACAAGTATCTCATAAAAAAGTGGAGTAGAATTCAAGCAATGCCTTCGGAGAAAAAAAAGCGCTTGCCGACGCGATCTTTCTCTCGACGCGGCTCCTCCGTGCAGTTATATATATATATATACACACACACAACGACGAAAGCCGCTGCATATAGTCCTTTTCTTAACGTTACCTCGTTCGCCAAGGGCACGTACTCGACGTAATCGAAAGCGCCCTCGTCGTTGCCGTAAGCGCGCCGGTGTCTCTCGACGCACTCCCGACCGACGGGGCATAGGCATCCGCAGCAGCAATCGAACCACCGCCCGAACACCCCCATCTCCTTAAGCAACGACAACTTTGATAATTCCACCCTCGAACCCTCGCGAGTACCTTGCTTAGACTGAGGGATATTTCATCTCTTGTGGCGCACCAGCGCTCTTTCTCTCTATCTCTTGGTCGGGTCGACCACTGCCTCTGCCAATTTTCGTTATTTTTAAACAAACGCGACATTGACTTTGTTGTGCCGAGATGATGAACCAGCTACACTACCATTGATAATGCGTTACACACATCCAACGGATGCGATATATTGGATTCTCCTCTAAACTCTTTCCACTCCCTTGAAACGTACAGGTATATATATGTATTCGTAGCAACAACATATACAGTATACGTGTATTTTTAGAGCCGGCGCCTATACCCTACGCTATATACGTCTATTTTAATTTTGCCTCTTCTTCTTTTTCTCGGCGGTACTCGTCTCTCGCGTCGTCTAGCCGATCTAGTCTCGGACACGCTAGTGATGACAGCACAGCTGCTGGTCCACCGTTGAGATGCTGCGGTATGGAAGATACTTTTCATGCCACGCGGGGCTTCTTGAACGACGACTGCTGAGAGATCACTTATTCGTGCTATGCTATTTACGTTATGTACGCACATCAACAGTTGAGATTAAGTGTTTTTTCGTCAGCAACGTTTGTACCATTGACAAAATATATCCGTATGTCTCGTGAGACGACAATTGATACATTACCTTGCGTCTGGAATGTAATAATCCGGTGGTGAATATAATATTTGCCAATTTAACAGAGCACGATGTAATTGGAAACAAAAAAAAATAGTGGTGTTTTACTGTATGCAAAACTTAAAAATTTATGAGTAATCAAGTATAAGGCTACGCTCAACTGGTTAGGTCGACACCAACAATAGCAACGCCCAACATTTAATTATGTACATGGCAATACCATGCGCCGCGCTCTTATGAATAACGTGTAAATGGCACTTGTAGCACACGATGCGACACAATTGTATGAATGAACAGACAATGTATTAGGGGGACTATTGCGTGTAGACGAGTACCCTGATGTATAACTGTTTGCACACACACATATATATATATGAAATGTACGAGTATACACGTGCCAGACAGGCAGGGCATGTGATATTATGCTCTTTCTTTATCCATCTTTCCAATTCTCCATACATATAATGTATATGACTCCATGTAGCGTGCGTGCATGCATCCGAGTAATAAAAAGCAGTCGGTGATAAAAGTGGTAAGTACATCACGCGCTCGCTGCACTTGGCCGTCGATTCTATGTTGAATATCGATTGTCGCGATATGCCACGCGTGGATACACGTATTATTTCCGCGGTGACAAAAAAAAAAAAAAAATCTGGAAAGGTTAAGGCTTGCTCCTTGTCACTTGGGGAGTTAATCATCATACATCAGTCTCGTAAACATTCGTAAACAAAGGGACAAAAATTGCCGGTAACATCTGTATATGTTATTTGCGCGCGGTGCAAATCAATCGTTTACACTATCGTTACATTGTAGGATCCTTGCTCATCCGCATATAATGACATTCTGGATTCTGATTGTAAGTGCAGCACAGCTCCTCCAGTCGGCCGTACAACAGCCAAAAGAGCGAGGTCAAACAAAAGTGCGTGCTTGCGTGCATGTGTATATTGTACAGTGTTACAATATGCAAACACGCATGGAATTGGCAAAGAATGACGCAGGTGGTCGGTAAGGGAAAAAAAAAAAAAAAAAAAAATGACGCGTGCTAAAAGCAACCAGACACCAGGACAGACCAGCTTTTGCGTAACACACACGACACGCTATATATTATGCACGTTGTGCCAACCTACTTATATAGGTACTCTCGAACCGTAAGCGCTTACTTCCGACTGTACATACACGCACACACGCTCGAAACGTGTAATTTCATAGCTGAACAGTTTGACAATGAGGAAAAAGGGGGGAAGGTCTAGCGGTGTTTTCTCTCCAATTATCGCTCTCTTGTTGTTTACACCGTTACTCGCATACAAAGTAACGCGCCACAATCGTTTTATTAAGATAAAAAGGCGATGTCAATACAATTGTGTTGGTGTGCGTGTCTTCATTATCAACCAAAGTGAGCTAGCAAATACTTTTTTTTGTAGAGGCTTCTGGATAATATAAAGGCACGCGTATATGCTACAAAATGATAATATATGTGTTGTACGTTTTATACAGTTCTAGATTAACAAAAATTTCATTTTTCCGTGACTTAGTAATCCAGTAAATTTGTCAGATAGAGCATCAAAAAGTACCGTGCACGTATTTTTTCCTTCATCACGTGTAGCAAAAAATATAACGATGATGCAGTGAATTAAACTTTCGCGTGACCTCACACCATATATTCATTTAACATACTTTATTCTCCAACTTTTACACGCTTTGTTTAACGCTACGAAAAAAAAAAAAAAAACAAACAACAACTTGTGACCAATCATTTTTGATTACCTATTTGACGGACTTACAGCATAGTTTAGTAAAAAATAGATGGGGTGAACTTAATTTTTTGAATTCTTCTTTTACGGGTGCACGTAAGAAAAAAAAAAAAAAAAAAAAAAAGCAAACACACGAATATACTTTAAATACATTAGGCGTCAAGAAGATGAATGTTACTAAAGAAATAAACTTCGTGTGAGTGAAAAAGCTAAGAAGATGATGCTTCATATAATAGCAGATAATAGACGACAAAGTTATAGGTAGGCTTGGCTAACTCGCGAGTCTTCTTCTGCCTAAAAAACGAATTCGTCTTCTGCAAAATATACGACATGATATTGAGTCAGTACTGCAAGCGCAATAACACAAGTGAACGACTGTACCTCGAGCTCCACTCTTTCACCCCTCACTCATGGATATGACTCACCCAAGCCTGTTGAGGAGGAAAAAGTTTTTTTGCCGTTTTATTTCTGCTCGCTTCTCCCCTCGCGCACAACATTGGCTTCAATCGTAGTGTTACGTCGGC